TGGCTTTTTGATGTAGTTCTAGAGCCTTTAGAGTCATATTCACTTATTTTATCAATTATTAATTACAATAAAACACAGAATATGGAATTAGGGCGGGGGTTAATCTACTCCTAATTTGCACATTTTGACACCAGTTGGACGAGATTTACACCCATTCTACTCTTCTGTCCGACGAGCAGTTATGCGAATGGCTCTGAGAGAGACCGCAGGTAATGTTGATCCCCGGGGCGTCTGAGAAGTTCTTCCCTCACGTGGTTGCCGCCTATTATTTGGTCTGGAAACAGACAGAACAGAAGCACTCAGACAATTCTCATTTTCTTTTCTTTTATCCCACGCCTTTTTCCTATCCTAACATAATTCAAGGCGTTAAGCGTACCGTTCCGATGGGTGCGTCGCTAGGGGGAGTTCAGTCGCAAACGGTGCCTACCCGAGCCTAGGGTAGATTTGAGTAGTATTTTAGCCCTTCCCTCGGCATGAAATTATTAACAGGTAGTAAACAAAAAAACATTATTTCTCATTATTATATTAAATAAACTAATAAATATTCAACTTATATGTCGTGAATAAAAACATCACCAGTGTTCAACATTAATAACACGATTAAGGTGAACATTCTATTTACTTAAAGGACCATACTACTGAGGTAATAAAAACCCATAGCAAAGCTAAGACATATATATATGAATCGATATTTTTACATATTTCATAAGTTAAGTAATAACTGTTGTAATATATTGTAATAATTAAAAATAAATAAATAATCTAAACCACAAATAATCTAGAAATAAAATTAGCAAAATATGCTGAATACCCTATATGTCTTTTTCTGGAAATTAAAATTGTGTTCATCGTCTAACACACAAATTAAAATCCACCTTCCACTATACAAGTAAAGTTTACTATGTAGAATTCTTAAAAATAATTGTAAAATTTAATTTTCATTGCTTATCCAAATGTAGGAAATACCCCACCCGATCCAAAAGAGGCACCACAATGACACTACCAAAAAATATAAAAATTATTATTATTTAATATATTTTTGGTCATTTATTACTTATTCTTTGAAAGATATTACATGAATTGAATCATTTCACGACACCTAAAGCACTCTTACGGATCGGACAGTTTTTTTACATATAACAATAATGAGACGATGTCGAAATATTATCATATAAAAGTACAACCAGAGTGAACGAGAGTACGCAAGCTTAATACAAACGTCTCGCATTGCACGCACACAAGCGAGGGGTTCACTTATAACAGCAGACGTGTATTTAACACTGTAGATTGGGATAATACACCGGCCGGCCGGAATCTTATTGTTAATCGATAGAAGATAACAAGTAAAAATAATCACAGTTATCCATATATTACTTTATCAAGGAATATAAATCAATATATTATACTTTTTATTTGTAATGATTTAAGATCTTAAGCTAGCTATTCGTTTAATAGTACTTATTTACTATCGGCGGGGGGTCCAACAAATTGTACACATATAACTCCGTAGATTTCAATGTGGTATGTTTTTAATATTAATGGATATACAAAATAATTATGCACGTTATTAAACATATCGAGCAGAGTACAGCAGAGTCTCACTAATCCAGCACTATAAAAGACCAGGAGGTGACGAATTTTTGGAATGTTCGGATTACTGGATTGTATATGGAAATTCAAGGTAAATAAACCATTAAATACGTAGGTAATAAGGTGATATACAGGTTGTTAGTGTAAACACCGTTATTCTTGAAACTAGTGGTTTGGTTTCACTTATAGAACGTAAATTCAATGAAAAGTAAAATCTCAATTTTTCCTTAATTCCCCAATTTTTGTCTGTCCTAAGTCAGGATGAAAGTATGAAGGAAAAGTTACATCACAGGTTATGTGTACCTATTGTGTTTTTATTGGAATGTGTAGGTAGCAAGCGCGGGCGGTGATCTTTACAGTGATTACGTCACTCGGGCGCATAGGGTATCCATGAATTTACGGACGGTGTCAGACAGAAACTTTTTAAATTTTATGAAAGAAAATAGCGTTTTTTTAAATTCAATGTAATAATACCAACTTATTATGGCTCAATCGTAGCCATGCTACGTAGCGACACGGTACGCTGATTCAAGGTCATGTGAGTTTCCGCACTCTCGTTCACTCTGCTACAACAATAACACAGATTATAACACTAATATATTGAAACAGTACGGGCATGCGCAGACGACAGATTGTCAGTGGTGTATTTTTAACGAATATAATAATAAATAAGCAAGTAGCAAGGCGCATCAGCGCACACAGTTTACTCCTCGCCTTCAAATTAAGAATCTGACGTGTTATCGTGTACGATTCGGTCGTTCTCGAGTCGCGTAAAAATATTAATGATTTTAATAATAAGCTTTAAACGATCTGGTTTAACAAATCAAAAACAACGGAACCTTACTTATTCAGTATTAAATTTTATCATTACAAATATTATCCTTATACCGTTCAAAAGCTCAGAACACTGCAATTAAAATACAAATCGGAAAATAAAGCATTGTCTGTGTTTATGTTCGATCGAACGATGTGTGAACGACGCGGGTCTCACACAATACTGAAACCAAAGAGTAAATTATTAATATACCTACTAAGAAACTGAACTCGAAATAAGCCATATAATTGAGCGACCGAAATGAGCCATATAAATGATCGAATGAAATAAGCCATATAAATGATTGAATGAAATAACCCAGGTCGCGTAACGAATCAATACTTGATCGATTGCAACGCTATAAAATAACTATGGACACAAGACAACTAAAGAGCAAATGTGCGTCACGCCGCGAAGCGACCGTATGCGTAGTGCCTCCGACAAGTTTGTTACGCTAATGTTCCGTGAACTTTAACCATAGAGTACTACAATACGTACATAATAAAACGGGGGAGCGGGAGGAGCCCGTGTAGCCACTAAAATGTCACTAACATGTCAATTCACACGTATAAATGTCAACACGGGATGTGTTTTGGCGTTACAATCCTTTTCCAAATTTTGCATACAAATTATTTAGAAAACGCCAAATTGCACACTATTTACAAATAAATATGTATTAAAATTTAAACGATTTTTTAATGATGATCTTGAACGTTAATCAAAAGTCTAAAATGTGTAAACTTACTGTCTGTCAACACAGCGAATAGGGTTTGCAGTAGTGATAATACGACGTAATTGCTTGTATGTGTCCGTCCTGGCGACGTACGAAATACGGTTGACAGCCATTCTATTATATATTATAGTACTCTATGAGTTTAACAGACGAAAATCTACCGCAGGTATTTTTTCTTCGTATTTGTTAGCTCTAAATGGTAATTACATTTGTATATTACATTAATATTTATTTACCAGAAAAAAAAAGAATCTTAACAACAGCGCGATAGTCAAAATACTATTCCTCAATTACCTACTTTAAAATAAATAAGGTAAATATAAACATTTATTAAAGAATAGGCACCAACATATTAAGTTAACGTTTAAGTTAGAAATCTATTATCTAAAGCCAGTACTTACAGTAAAAATATTTAAAGGTCTCTATAAAGAACAACAACTACCTATAGAGTATTTAATTTGAACCAATTTGTACATCTCAACAAAATGGAACGAATGTCATTACCATTCGTCAGTCTTTTTAGTTTATTTGAAATACACGTATAAATTTAACATCACAGATAATTACAAACGCCATTTCTAGTCCTATAAATATTATTAGATATTAGTATTCTCGCAATAACAACAGAAAAAAAAACAGTGTTACAAACAACATCCGATGTAACAACAAACATTGACATGTATTCTATAGCTCGCAAAAAAAAGCATGATTTATCGTACGTAAAGAAAATAGTGTTATAAAATACAAGATGTAAAAATTATGACTGCATTTTATCGAAAACTTAAACGTCTTTATTTAGATTAAAATAATTAAAGCATAATTTATCAAAATTTAAAACCCCATTAAACAAAACTGCTAAAACATTGAAGTGTTTATCAAATAATAATCATTTGTGAATAATGTATAAGATATTTAGTGAACGTTGCTTAATAAATTTAATATGCTCTCGTAAATCGATTAATGTTTACTGAGCATTTTTGTTTCATTAATGAGACTAAAATGAAATTTCATTAAATTTAATTAAAAAATTGCAACTACATTATCGATGCAATTTTTGGCTTACTTAATTTTATGATATCATAATGAAATCAATCGTAAGATCATATCATATATTTTAAAAAGGGCTAGTACAAGTGGAAAATCTATTTTCCCACTTTTGCGTGGCAGGTGGATTTTTAACGAGCTTAAATATCGTTACGTGTACGAAGTATCGTTGGATAATAATTGGAATATTTTAATTTAACAAATTAACCATTTGAGATTTTCTATACACAAAATTAACAATAAAGGCATATATTATGTTACTTTTCGGTCACAGAGCAATTTATAGGAGGTTATGACATCATACTGGCATTTCCATAAGTCGCCTTCAGGACAATTGGCCTTAAGTTGCCACGACGCGACAAATGCTAACATGTAACTACTTTTAGAGTTAAGAAAACTATTATTGTTCAACATGACTAATGACAATATAAACTTGATAGCATATAAAAGCTTTTAGTGGTATTGCCATGGTACTTCAATCCAGAGCATTTAAATTAAATAATCGTTATTTTAAAGAAACGTACTTACAGCAGTTACACATAAAAGAGTTCAGATATTTTATAAAGTATAAAAATAATTCACACCTTATTATAAACACAATATAACAGATTAAGAAGGTAACTAAATCTGAAAAACTAGAAGAGAAAAGTTTAAAATTACTTTACATACACATGACAGTGTTAATACATCATATGGCTGTTGCGCAGACTATATTTTTATAATTTAATTAGTAGTAGTGAAACGAGACAGCAAGTGGACGTTTCATTAAAAATAAACATTCTAAACTGACTGATTTATACAATACATTGTGAAATGTATTTAACGTTCTCGCCGAGCGCGTTTAGCCCTCGCTGTGGGTGCTACGGGCGTATGATCATCATCATCTCGTCTCTTTGCCGGCGCCTGAGGTCTCTGTAACTGGCTTTGCGCTGTTAACTGAAGCTGCAACGCGTGAGTATTCAATCTCTCGGCCAACAGCAGAGGTTTAAGTGCCGCCATTTTGTGACTGTACAATGTGACCCGTGGTCTGCTATTCACTGCCATTGTTAGTTGTTCTCTTACGCTCATTTCAATATTGTCAGAGTTATTGTTCCATTTGTCATTGTCTTTTTTGTTGTCTTCAGTGTCTACTTCCTTCGCTTCAGAAGGCTCCTCACTATCAGGATTACAGACAATATGCACCTGAGCGCGGACCTCGGCGTCAAATTTAGATATCGTACTAACAAGTGGCTTCGCCCAACCTATATGTAAAATTGGAGTTTGACTGCCTTCCTCCCATTTGCAAATGCCATCATAAAACCTGAAATTAAAGAAAAACAATAATGTTCTGTTACTTTTCTTTAAAAGTCTCTTAATGTGATTAATTAGTGATTTCTTTTATAGGATAAGGTGAAAAGCTAGCACACAGTCCACCTGATTGTAAGTGGTTGCTGCGGCCCATAGACATCTACATCTATCCTCGATTACAAATCCAAATGCAGATGCGTTGTCACCAGTGAGGACTAAGATGGAATGCCTCGTTTCCAGTAAAAAGGATCTCCGGTTCTCTACACTCACCATACGAAACAGAGCAGCATTAAGCTACTATTTTACGCTGGTATTCTGTGAGAGCGTGGTCCTTACATAGTCGAGCCAACCCATTCGTGCTACAACTGTACTACTAATATAACTGCAGCATGGCTCTCCACGTGTCATGATTCCTAAATGTATCATATTATTTTAAATATTCTTTTATATATTAATGTATAGTGATTTACTTATTTAACATTGGCTTATGGTTCATAAAAGATAGCTTGATCTCTGCGACAGCTGTCAGTAAAAATCACGCCTATGAAGTCCTAAATTTCTTAGTAGTACATAGGAGTGGTCGTTACAAAACATAACTAGTTACTGAAACTATCTATTCACACAATAGCGGGTAGCGGGTTATTGCAGTGCAACGAAACTATCTATTACAGTAGATGTTGTACTCAGTAACACGATTCACGTTTCACGAATCACGAACGAGCGATCAGTAACAATAACAAAACGTTTATTCGGCTATTTTCGCGACGCATCGGCGATGGCTTCGGCTGTTGAAGTAGAAGCGCATGAGTAAAGAAACCGACTCTTTACGCTGTGGTAGAAGTAGAAGGGTACCACCGGTCGTCGAATATCGAGTGGGCGCGGGTGCTTTTGCATTTGACCTATGACTCTATTCCCTTCGTATAGATGCGATATTAGAAATGAGAAAGTAAGTGTGCACGTTTTTAACAAAAAATAGTTCAAATTACATAATTTAAGGTTTAAATTAGTCTTGTGTTTAAGTTTAATGACGCGGTTTGTTTTTACTTTTTTAGGCGCGTTTGTTAATATTTTTGTTTTCTTTTTGTGCAATAATAATAATATCTTTAGTAAAATAAGAACTAAATACAATTGTATATATTAGTGTTAATAATAATAATTGTACAGTAATTAGTGTAAGTAACTAAGTGTAAAAATAATACTAAAACTTTATGTTATAGTATTAGAAAATATCTCGAAGTAATGCCAGTGTACTTTGGGACTTTTTTAAAAAAGATACTACAAACATGAACGCCAATATTCTATAAAAACATCAATACATGTATTCATTTGATTTATTACATAGAAATGTAGGCTTGAGATGTCTAATAATAAGCATTGTAATAATTATTTGCTATAAAATCAAACTTATATTCAATATTTTATGCTGAACTTGTGGGTGAATTTATCATAATCATAATTATTAAATAAATCGTTTGCCGTTAAATCTTTTCAAGTGATATTTTTATCAAACCGTGCGAAATGATTTAAACAAATAAATAAAGTTAACCATTAACACCATGTCTAATTCTATACGAAACGGTAACAAACAATTTTCTCGTGAAACAGACATCGTTTCATTCGCAACGTTTTTCAATTAAACACGTCGTGAAACACTCTATTGAAGCCGCTATTAAAATAGAGTGTTTCAAAACCCTCTATTAAAATAGAGTGTTTCAAAAGCCGCTATTGATATTCGATAGATAGTTTCGTTTCGTTACTCAAAAAAACCGCTTCTACCCACCGCTAGTAGTACAGACTCGGACAGTACCTGTCAATGTCATACTTTATGGGCATGCACTAATTAGGTCGGCATGCCCATAACGTATGACATTGACGGGTACTGTCTGTACTACTAAGAAATTCAGAACTTCATAGGCGTGATTTTTACCGATAACTGTCGCAGAGATCAAGCTATCTTTTATGAACTATAATAGACTGCAATAGTAGAAATACTTTTGTAGTCAATTCACTCAGTTTCATTTTTGTAAGTTGGTAGCTGACTCCAGAAACCTGTTGAGATTGGCTTGTCATGATTTATAAACGTATTGTCACGATTTCTAAATGTATCATATTATTTTATATTAATGTATAATGATTTACTTATTTATCATTGGCTAAGTAAGCTGCAGTTAGTAGAAATACTTTTGTAGTCAATTCACTCAGTTTCATTTTTGTAAGTTGGTAGCTGACTCCAGAAACCTGTTGAGATTGGCTTGTCATGATTTATAAACGTATTGTCACGATTTCTAAATGTATCATATTATTTTATATTAATGTATAATGATTTACTTATTTATCATTGGCTAAGTAAGCTGCAGTTAGTAGAAATACTGTTGTAGTCAATTCACATAGTTGCAGTATTGTAAGTTGGTAGCTGACTCCGGAAAGGTGTTGTGATTGGTTTAAAAATAAAGACTAGCGAGAGAGGATAGTTGGTTGGAGGCAGACGTTTCGGGGAATGGCGGAAAGAGGTTGTTTTGGAAAAGGCTAGTCCTAGTTGATAATCTTTTGGAAAATATTTTAATAAGAGTAAGAGTATTATCGTAAGTGTTTATTGTTTAATATCAAGAATATAATTAACTAAGAACTAGGAGATTGTTTTACTTTATTACAATTCAGAAGTGGGATTACCAAAATGCTTGGTTAATTCAATTTAGATAAATTACTAAATAATTATTAGAAGTTATTTAACAGGTAAATATTTTGTTATCGTTTACCATTATACCTACTTGAATTTATTAAATCCTGATCTCATTGTTCTTTTACACAGCACTAAAAAACCTAAGTATGTAGAAGTAAGGATCATTAGTTTAAATTATTTTTCTTTTGGAATTATATACTATGAATATGTTGGGTTGTGATTACTGATTGAGAGTACATTGATAAAAGTTTATTTGCATGAAATATGGTGGTGAATAAAGTATTTGACTAACGACATATTTTGTCTTATAAAAGAGAAGGTTGAAATTTAGAATCGTTGGGCAGGAATTTGGGGGAGTTTTATTTGGTAGAGGTTTGGTCCCCGATTATAATAATAACACTTCCATTAAAAGGTAATGCACCGTTCCTGAGAAAAATCAAAAAGAAAGTCCCATAGAACTAACCTCAAAATCATAACTCGAAATGAATTAAGGGGTGGGAGGTGGTGGAGAGGGAGGCGGGGGAATTGTAGAGTCGCCCCCCCACTTCCACATCCTGCCGGACATGCTTAGATTTTTTTTATAAATTTTTGAAAATCTAATTTTGAGGTTATGTTTTTGCAATTTTTTTGACTATAAACCTGATTTATGGGGGAAAGAGTTGGAGGAGGGAAGCACCACTTAGCGCAGCCGAGGAAAGGCCGGTCGACGGAGCCCCGCTTTGCGGGGCTCCTACTTCTGAGTGGTTTACAAACAAATAACCACGAAGGGAATGGCGGGGTCTATTCGCTCGCTCACTCGACCCCGCCATCCCCTTCTAACCTAACCTGTCCGAGTCGGGGTGCCCTAAGACCCGAGCTCGCTTCGCTCGCTCTTGCACTCAACAAAACACCAAAATATTAGATTTTATAATTACTTTAAATTATGAAAATAATATATAATATAATAATAACCACACTACGGCTCGCACAGGTGCCTGCGATTTGCTACGACGGGCGGGGGCTGTTCTCCCTCCGCACCTACGGCTTTACAAAAACACTTTAGGAGTAGGACAGACAAGGCTACGTGGATTCGGGGCGTGCTGATTTAATTTTAGTACAGATTCGATGAGATCAGATATCTATAGTCAGGTTGCCTTTGCTCCCGCCACAGACACAAAATTCTGTATGCTATCCAGCTTTCACAGTAATATCGTATAATTTTTTCTCAGAAGGGTTAGAACCCAGAGCCGTAAATTCAGTTAATAATAAAAAATGTATCACTTTCCATACTTTACGTATTTAAGGTTATAATAGTTTTTATTTATTTTTTCGATAACGGTGCATTACCTTTTAATGGGAGTGATATTATTATAATCGGAGACCAAACTTCTACCAAATAAAACACCTTACTCCCCCAAATTCCTGCCAAAACGATTCTAAATCCAACCCAAAGAGAATGCTCATTTGAATTAAAAAAAAAATAATATAGTACATATTATGTACATTTTCTTTATTAACTTGATAAACCTTTGTTGAAATAACGTTCAAACGTGCCTAAGTTACGAAGGGTGAACTTAAGCATTGTCACCATTATGTACCAACCTTTGATCACAATAAATGCTTTAGGGTACCTACTTATGATATACAGTGTAGTACACAGTGCCCGTGTTCTGAGGTGTTCCCGGTGTGCTATGTGGCGTCGTTGATGGCCGCCATATTGTGTCGAATATCCCACCATATTAACCCTAGATAGATAACCTACGTCGAATCGACGTAATCGATTTTGACAAATCGATATAGCTCGTTTGTTTTTCGCGTCACTAAACTGGCCGTTCCTGCCAACTCAGTCGGCCGTCGGAGCTTGCAGGACACACCCGTATCGCTCCGGTAAGTGCAATACTTTCGTCAATATTTGGCTTCCGTACGTCGAAGTGACGTATGGTTATCTTTAGTGTCAGTTTTTCAACTTTTAAAAAAAGGTGATAATGCGATATTTTGACTATAAAAGTACATATTTTTAATAGTTTTTTTTACTTGTTATAGGCCACAATAAAAGACCATAATGACGTCACGAATTCGTACAGACGATGCAGAAATCAGTCGCTTGTTGAATGAAACAAGCGAGGAAGAGATTCAGGGGTCCGATAGTGAAACTGAAGACAATTTATTAGAAGATGACGTACAAAGTGATACTGAAGACTATGATGTGAGTGCTCAACCAGTGGTGGACCCATTGAATGCTGAAGATGTGTCAGGAAATGACTCTGAACCTTCTGAAAGTGCTTCGCCAAGTGTGCCGAGTTATATTATCATGCCACAGCGTCAAATTCTTAGAGGCAAAAACGATCATCGTT